CACCACTGGGCCAATTGGCAACATCAGTATGGATGGTAAAGAGATTAAGATTGTTAACAATTTTAGTTTGCTTGCTCTACGGTCAACACTCTTGGTACCAGCAGTCAGAAAATCAAGAGACAAACTGCATTGGGAAAGTCAGCTATCAGGGACCTCTCCAGAGTACTAAAGAGCAATGATGTCAGGCTGGAGACTAAGGTGTACCTGATCCAGGCCATAGTCTTCTCAGTTACGTGCTATGCATCTGAGAGTTGGACAGTCAATAGGGATGACAGAAAGAGAATTTATGCCTTTTAACTATGGTGCTGGAGAAGAGTGTTGAATATACCATGGACTGCTAGGAGAACAAACAGGTTTGACCTGGAGAGGGTGAAACCAGCCTGCTCCTTCCAGGCAAGGGTTCTGAAGCTTTGTCTGACATACTCTGGTCATGTTGCAAGGAGGGACCAGTCCTTGAAGAGGGATATCATGTTTGGGAGGATGGAGGGACAGCGCAGGAGAGAAAGACCCTTGATGAGATAGATCAAGTCAGTGATTGAGGTAATGGGAGTAGGAACGTCAGAGACAGTGAGGTTGGCACAGGATAGAGCAGGGTTTAGGGCTCTTGTACATGGAGTCGCTATGAGTTGCAAGCAACTCAGGAGACAACAACAACAACCATCTGATCTTATGTTTTAAGTAGCGAATGGTAGCTTTAATTTTTCTCAGTGTCTTCCATTACTATTGATCTGTTGTTACATTCTTTTTTCTAGACTCTGATTAACTCAGTTTCTCATCCCTGCAGCATTCTGGAGCCAAGTAGCTGCCTATCCACAGATTGGCTGCCAGGTGAGCTCTGTACTGAATATCTTAAAAATTGTTATTATACATAACAGCTTTAAAGCAATATTGATCTCATCTGACCCTGCTCTATGCATGGTTCAGCTACAGTAAGACCACATATAAAGGTATAGAGAACAGAGACAAAAACAGAAGACTTGAAAAGTAACATCCAATGTAATGGACTCAAGGAAGGAAGACAGTTTTGTGATGAATGAAGTAAAACTATTTGTATTTTAATTAAAAAATTAAAGCATTTTGATAAATAATGCCATCAGACATAAATT